TGATTGTTCTGTTAAGATCAGTAGACCTGGCCAGGGATTTCTTCATTATTGTTTGTCTTGGACCAGCAAATCTGAATATTATGATGCTACTTTTCATTTTAATCTTTTTCAGTGGTAAAAGTTAAAAACCATTATGAAGATGTAGCTTGATGTATTATGTTTAAATGTATAAAAGGAAGTAGAACACTGATATGATAAGCTGAAAATTATCCCTTTTTATCTTCTGAAACAATGCTTAATATTAAAATTGTATAGTAAGAAAAACGGGACACTTTTTGGAAGTATTAGTTGCATAAAGCACTCAGGTAGCAGCAAGGTATACAAGTACGTTTTGGAAAGCTGAGTAATTAAGCCTCTTACAGATTTCGGTATCATAGTCAACCACTAACTCCCACTATGCCCTCCCAGAAGTGTAGCGAACCAAGATAACCTGATTAGATAAGGCCATGGCATGAGATATATTTATTCAGATGTACTAGATGAAAAACTAAAGGATAATATTCGTGATGGAGGAATATGTGAGGAAATAGACAAATTTTGTTGGCAGTTATATACCCACAAAGCCATCTATTGAAAGTCAGCTGTACTGCAATGCTGTGAGCAACTTTTCTGGTGTATAGCAAAACTAAGGCAATTCCAACCACAATAGTAAATTAAACAATATTTTTTCTTGCTTCAGGAGGGTTTGAAAGTTTAATGTTACCTCCTTTTGCATTGATTTAATTTTGGGGCCCAGGATTGATGCATGATTAGGTGACACTGAAGGTCAATAGAGTGCAGAACTCTATTAGTGTTTGATATTAGATCTAAAGAGCTTGATCCTTCAAGGTGCTATGCACAGTCAACTCCCATTGACTTCAGTGAGACTTGAGGGCACCGGACAGCTCACAAGAGCGCTCAGAAAGCCTGATCCAAAGACTGCTTTGGATTTCCCCTTCACACTAGTGGGCATTGGATTAGGCACAAAGGCCCAGATCCTCAAAAGGTATTTAATCAATGGGAGTTAAGCTCTTTGAGGACTTGGGCCAAAATAATTATGATAGCTTGAGGGAATGTCTGGAGTTTTGATAAAATGCTATGATTGGAGACAGAAAGTGAAATGTTTGCCCCATTGAAGTCAATGGCAAAATTCTTATTGATTTCAATGGGACAAGAATTTCTGCGAGTGTATTCTTGATTGTGGTTAAGTGTAAGGGTGTGGACCCACCCCTGTGGCACCTCCTGTTGGTCGTCCTTGGGAATTAGCTCATTTTCCAGCCAGGAGCACCCTCTGCAGGCCGGTGATCCACCTTACTGCTTGCCCCCGTGTCCCTCCCGGACCGAGTGCCCCTTTCTCTGGGGTGCTGCTCCCTTGACAGTAACCCCTTAGTCTCAGGGTCTCCCCACCCACTATCCCCACTTCGCCTCAGTCTTGGCTACTGCCAGTCCTCATCTAGCCCCCGTTCACTGGGGTAGACTGCAGTGTATAAGCCACTCATCACAGGCAAAGGGGTTTGGACCTGCTGCCTCTGCCTACCCGTGGGCTGCCCTCTGCAACCCAGTACCTAATAGGCCTTACCAGGCCTGCAGTCTGGGGCTTTCCTAGGCTGGAGCTCCCCGTCTCCCTTGGCCTTTCCCCAGCCCTGCTCCACTCCAGATACCTGGTTAAGCTCCCTGCAGCCAGGCCCTTCTCTCTCTGAACGCAGAGAGAGACTGTCTGCTTGAACGCCTGGCTCAAGCCTTTATAGGGCCAGCTGGGCCCTGATTGGGGCATGGCCCCAGCTGAGCCTGCTTCCTCCTACTCAGCCCAGGCATCTTGCCCTTCCACAGCCCTCCTCCAGACCTGTTTTAAACCCCTCAGGGCAGGAGCCGGTAACCACTCCGCTACATTAAGCTCAGTCAAGATAATTGATTTGGGCAGATGGGACAACTAAAATTCATTACTTTATAATGTTAATACAGTAAAACCTCTTACCAAAATCCAAGTCTTCCTATCTGAAGTATTTCTAAAAAATTGATTGTTAGTGGGACTCTTACAGGGAGGAGCAAGAAAATATTGCCTTCACAAAAACGAGAGTCTTAAAAAAACAAAAACAAAACCAAAAACATTCACAATCTTAAAGATGTTCTAGAACTTTCACTTTAGTGCATATGGTCAATTAATGAAAGCAGAAAGGGTGATTTTTAGCCTTTCCATTGAAAAACACTGAATAACTGTCATAGACAATTGTATGTCACCACCAGAATTCAAAAGCAATCCATGGCTGTTGAAGAGCACCTTCACCACTAGCGTCCTCCCTTGTGGAGGAGTGTGGCTGAGTGTGGCATAGCATAGCAGTTCTTTCCTCTATAGTGCTCCCACCAATCCTGTGCTGGTCTGTCTTTTATCACAACTCGGCCCTATGGCCAGATAACCTTTTAATTCTACTCCTTCTGGGTTAATGAAGTCCCACACAACATGAGTCCAATGTCTGTACATTAAGTCTTCACCCCAGCTCTCAACCCAGTGATCCTTGCATCTCAGGGCTCTTAGAAGTCATTCTTTTATGCCAGGATTACATACCACCTTCCCCAGTAGCTGGAAGGAAAACCCAAGCCCTTCCATTACACTGGATTCCAGTTGAGGACCCCTATAACTAGCAGCTAAAGTCTGCTCTGTTGGACACCTTTCTGCTGCCACCCTGGATTTCTTCTTATTGTAGCCCGTCAGCAGAGCTCTCCCCTGAAATCCCCCAACAAAATCCCCAAACCAAAAGTACAAATAAACTAATTTCTGCCCTCTTTAGGATTAACCTTTGATGCTTCTTAAGTTCCCCTGCTCTGGTCTCCACTGAATACCTACCAGGACTCTCTCCCTAGAAGTCCCAATCCTGCTCTTTTATCAGGGTTCATCATCAGAGTTTGTTCTACCCCAGCAGCTTCTCCTTGTCTCTCCTGGCCTCCTGACAGACTTCTCTACTCAAAAGAGGATGTAAGCGCCTACTTTCCCCTGGACTTCCTCCTTGATCCTCCCAGTCACTACATTTGCTAGTGCCAAGAGAGGGACAGCAGAGTTCCTTCCTTTTCTCCTTATAGTCTCCTTCTGCTCCCAGTTTCTTGGCTTTATAATCACCACCCAGTTCCTCCTCAGCTCGGTCTCACCCTTAACTGAACCTGGCCCAGCCTCCGGTGTGACTAGGGGGGGTTAGTTGGACGCTCTCATTCCAATTAACTCTTTCAGAACCAGATGGCATATATAGCTCACCATAGTAGAGCTGCAACACAGCCAATCAACAAACATTCATTCTAGCCTATAGGCTGGAGTAGAAGCTATAGCTCTAGTATACCTCTATGTGGTAAGGTATGGGGCCACTAGGTCTGTATAAGTGCTAATCACACAGCCCTTTTGATGCTTCACTCTCTGAGGCCAAGGTCAAGCCCCACTATCAGGCTTAAAAAATGCACAAGGTATAGTGTAGATCTCAGCACCTGGTGAACTTCATTCAATAACAGCAAAGCCTTGAAGTGGTCAATGCTAAAAGCAAAGAGCTTTAAATCACACTGTAGATGCCAAGACATATGCAAAGTAAGGGAGCAATGTTTTTAACATTATAATATTTCCATGAATGGATCTCTCTCTGCATACTCCAGTATTTAAAAATAACACTAAAAAGTAGCCTGACCCAAATAGCCTGAAAAACAGTCTATGATTAAAACTTATAATTGATCTAAGGTAGGAAAGTTAACTATCCATCTTCACTGAAATGGCATTTCCACAGTTCCCTTTATTAACTTTTCAGAACCTATTTTAAGACAGAAAACTACTGCTTCAAGAATTCTTTTCTATAACTAAAACTTAAAAGGGACAAACTAATGAGAGTATGGAGGAAAGATCTGAACTACCACCTCAGTGAAAAAATCTGGAACAAAGTGTGTAGGAATACAAATGCAGCCAATGACTGAAGGTTGAAATTTATCCAACAAAAAATCATCTTCAGAACATTTTGGGATGTGTGAAAACTACAAATGCTAGAACAGTGAAGAGGAAACTGGGGATCTCATCCATATGTTATGGAAATGCTACTGCCCACTAGTAAATTATTTCTGGAGAACAGAAAAAGAACTGCTAACATTGTTATAAACACAGGGCCTGCCTGATGATTAAAGGTTTTTTACCTGGGAGTTCTTAATGGTCAATTGTGGCCAACTAGATATCCTATGCCAATAAATCATCTTTGATGTACAGTAGAATTATGACTGAGAAATATGGCATTATTTAGAAACTACCTTTAAAACAGAAAGACAATCAACAGCCTCCTAGGAGGATGGGATCACTAATATGCAAGCTCAGAGATGCTCTGTACAGCAGGTGCCATTAAAGAGCTCCACTGGTGTAAAGGATTCTGCTAAATTCACAGATAATCCCTATCTTTGAACTTGGGAAGCTCATTGTAACCAGTAGAAATCTTTCAGACATTTTAAAGACACCCAAATCAATATGAAAGTAAACTGAAAAACAAACAAACCTAAGGACCAGGTTCTGCCATTCTTACTTACAATTAATAGAACCATATTCCACATGTAGACCTGTTGAGTTCAGTTGGACTACTCATACAGTCAGGTACTACTCAGCATGAGTAAGGGTAGTAGAATCTGGCTTTAAAGTTTGTATCCTTAGATACATTTTATAAAGGTAAGATGTGCTCCCATTTATTTGTTCTTATAATACAATAGCAAGGGGATATTGAATTAAATTGAAAGGCAACAAATTTAAAACTCATATTTTTAAAACACAGTGCGTAATTAACTATCATTTTATCCTTATTCCAAGATAACAGTTAGAACTTTATTATGAATAAATTACATTTAAATACAATTTTTAAAAGACTTTTGCTTTGAACCAACATTTTCTCTTCTTTGCGAAGTAATATATGCATTTGCAGAAAATAATTCTCCTTGCTAGTAAGAGAGTCATAACACTTTGGATTTATTCCAGGTACTAGTTTTATTTTTCATTTCTTTATTCATTCTTTTTTACATAGTATTTGCGGAATTCAGCATCTGGAGCGAGCAGGAAACAAGTTGACTCTCTTTGACTCCCTTTATTTCTGCATAGTGACATTTTCCACTGTGGGCTTTGGGGATGTTACACCCAAGATCTGGCCTTCAAAACTGCTGGTTGTCATTATGATCTGTGTTGCCCTTGTGGTGTTGCCCATACAGGTAAACTCTGATTGTTTTCCATTTGGAAGAGTTGGGGAAGTTTTGGGGAAAAGACTGTATTATCTTGAAATATATCTTGCAACTGTCCTTACTGTGTATGTAATGTCAAAAAAAAAAGGAGTACACCAACTTGTATGCTTCTTCATTTTATGCAGAGTTGGAGCTTTCTTATTTGTCTCCTTGTTTGTAAAATAAATGTGCATATGGTTTATATATGCTAAAATGAGAGGAGCTAACAAGTTTTCAAATCCTTGTAGAAGCTGCTGGCTCCCATCAGACACCAAAGAACATACAGACACTGTGTGTTGTCCAAATTTACCCTCATGCTGGGATTTACCTTTATTGTGAACTTAAATAATAGCAGCAAAACTAACCAGCAGCCAAAGCTTTCTCCAAACACTTAGCTATTCCTAGCATTTTCCGCTTCAGAGTGACACCTCAAGGGGAGAAAAAGGCTTTGTGTACTGGTTTGAGCACAGGACTGGGGGCCAGCTCTTATCATTGCTCCGACACTGAATCACTTAACATCCCTGCCTCAGTAGAATGTGGATAAGAAAACACTCCAGTCTCATTGGATTGTTGTGAATATTAGCTAGCTTGTATGGAGCTTCGAAGTTGAAATGGTATATGCATGGTGTATTATTGGTACTAATTGTATATAAAACATGTCGACATTACTCCATTGAAGTAATGCTTTTATGTATTTAAATTATTCCAGATACATTGTATATCGTATTGATCCCTAGAGTTCCCTTTATTAGGATCTCAAAGCAGAATTTATTGTGAACCAGGGGATGCTGATTAAGGTGGTAGAGGGAAAAGTGCCACTTATTGAAGTCCAGTTCAACTGCTGCCATAGTCAATACCAAAAACCCAGCAGTTCTCCAGGAGCAGCAGGGACAGAACATGATGTTTCTTTTAGCCATATGTTTAAGTGATGCCAATATTTAAGGTGCAGATCAGACAGTAAGAAATAATATGTAGACATCATTGTATCAAGTGTTGCCAACTTTAGATTTTTAAAAATCTCTGGGGAGAAACTGAGGCATTGTTCCATCTACATAAGTAATACATTGGTGTTTTTCTTGCAGTCCCATCTTTTGGAGTCGTGTAAATTACAAATTAACCCTAAAGGCTCAAATACCAGGAAAAAAATACATTTAAAATAATCTCATGACTTAACTCAACTTTATGATTTTTGAATGCTTGAGATTGGCCTATTGATGTGTTATTGTGCCATCCCATCAGCTTAGTTGTAAATTGCTGCTCTTGGAAAGAAACAAAGACAAAGGGTGAGGGTTCTAAGTGTGTCTTTAATTCAATGAGTGGATGGACTAAAGCATAAAATATAATTAACTCATACTGATAAAGATGCTTATATTGCACAGCTGCTTATATGTATTTCATTCACATTTGACAATATATTGCAGTTTGAACAGCTGGCTTATTTGTGGATGGAGAGACAGAAGTCTGGGGGTAACTACAGTCGACACAGAGCTCAGACAGAGAAACATGTGGTACTGTGTGTCAGCTCCCTGAAGATTGACTTGCTTATGGATTTCTTAAATGAGTTCTATGCTCATCCCAGACTGCAGGTATATTTACAATGCAAGAGTAAAATAATAAATTCAATTAGACATTAGTCACTTGCAGACAATCTTCAGAAATGGTCTGTAATTTGTGTGTCTGAATTAAAGAATGACTGACTGACTGAAGAAAGTATAATTGCAAGAAGTAGCTCAGAACAAGTACGGAGTGCATTCATTTTAAATTGATCTAAATTGGATTAAACAGATAGAAATATGCTTGTGTCACACAGAGTCTAATTACTTTGATTATACCAGTTATCTTACAGCCAACTAATTTTGTGAAAATTCCTTTTGATTAACCCAATATGATGTGTAAAACGAAAAAGATAAGAAAATTGGTCATTTCATGTTTTTCTGCTATTCTGGGGCCTCGTCCACTGAACTCAATGAGAGTTTTAAACATAATTGTGATTGCTGCAGTTAAGACAGAACAGGGTATAGTGCAATGGACATAACCTGATAGTCAGTATTGCTCACAAGTGAAGAGTTTCTCAGCATAAGCATTAAGAGAATTAGAGAATACAAAGAAATGTCTTTTTCATATGGCTGACTATATCCTAACCTGCTCTGTGAAAGTTTTACGTCTGAAGGCGAGCCCTGTGTAAGCTCCAAAGCTCGTCTCTCTCACCAACAGAAGTGGTCCAATAAAAGATATGACCTCACCCACTTTCTGTGTTAGTCTGTATCAGCAAAAACAACCAGGAGTACGTGTGGCACCTTAGAGACTAACAAATTTATTTGGGCATAAGCTTTTGTGGGCTAGAACCCACTTCATCGGATGCATGAAGTGAAAAATACAGGAGCAGGTATAAATACATGAAAGGATGGGGGTTGCTTTACCAAGTGTGAGGTCAGTCTAACAAGATAAATCAATTAACAGCAGGATACCAATGGAGGAAAAATAACTTCTGAAGTGGTAAGAGAGTGGCCCATTACTTTCATGTTATACTTCTGACCTTCACAACATCCACTGGCAATGAGGTTGACTGTGCATTCTGTGAAGTACTTCCTTATGTTTGTTTTAAACCTGCTTGTAGCAAAGTGCAGCAGGGGCCCCCTTGGCTCCTGCCACTGCTAGGTCCACAAAGTCACTCTGAAACCCCGGGGTTAATAACCACTGATGCAGTTTATTCGCAGACTTATTCCTACCACTTTTCACTATGTACAGTTGGTTCTTCACTATCTGCAGTAAGTAAGGACAGAAGGAAGATCCCTACTTCCACTCCTGCCTTTTTCCCTTTGGCTGCCTTCCCCTGCAGCTTTTATACAGCCCCAGGCTAATTAGGTGACATCTGTCTCTGCTTCCCCAATTAGGGCCAGGTTATTCCACTAAATGGGAGCTGGTGTGAGAGGGCTGAATAGGCAACCCTTTGCACCTCTGCATCCTCTACTGGGGGGGGCACTACAGGGAAGTCTTTTCCTCTCTTTTGGGTCAATCCCAGGGTTTGCCATGTGGGATTCCTTCATCCCCCAACCACCAGGGCCGCCCAGAGGATTCAGGGGGCCTGGGGCAAAGCAATTTTGGGGGCCCCTTCCATACAAAAAAGTTGCAATACTATAGTAACATGTATTTGGAAATGTAAAAAAATAACCAGTGAAATACATTCAAAAAATAATTTTTAATAATTTGAAATTACATGAAATACATTCTTTAAAAACATTAAATGCTTTAATAGTATGTATACATTTGCAATTACATAATGGGCTGTCGCTAGGTGATAGTGATGGTTGGTGTCAATCGGCTGTCGCTGCCTGGGGTGGCGCTGCTGTTGGCCAGGGCTGGGTGGGGAGCTGGGCTCTGGGTTGGGTGGGTCCCAGCTCACAGGGGCTGGGCTCAGAGCTAGGGGTCAGGGCTGTGGGGGGATGGGGATGGGGGACGGGGGGTTCCCGGCTCAGAGGGGCTGGGCTCGGAGCTGGGGGTCAGGGCAGTGGGGGGCTGGGGTTGGGGGGTGTCCAGCTCAGAGGGGCTGGGCTCGGAGCTGGGGGTCAGGGCTGTGGGCGGGAGTGTCAGGGGGGTGTCTGACTCAGAAGGGCTTACCATGCTGCTTACTCCCGCCTCCACCCTCTCCGGAGCCTCAGCGCGCCGTGTTCAGGAGCAGCCCTGGACAGCGCTGCAGTGGCGTTGCTCCACAGCACCTGAGCTCCTGTCGCTCAGCCCGGAGCTTGGAGCCCCGCCCCCTTACCACACGGCTCTGAGTGGGAGGAGCTCAGGCCACGCGGCTGCAGTGCTGTCCAGCGCCATTCCTGGACGCGGTGCGCTGAGGCACCGGGGGATGGGGGAAGGCGAAGGCGGGGGTGGAGAAACTACATTGTGTGTGGGGTGGATGGCCCCACAGTTCCACCACAGTGCCTTGCACCATTCACAGCCTTCTAGGTGTTCCCTTGTTCTCCCCTCCTTCCTTTCTGTCAGGGGTTCAGGGTTGGTCCCAGCCCTCTCCCAGAGGCTATGGGCTTCTTGTCCCCCAAGCTCATCCAAAGGGGTCTGGGTCTCTTCCTCTGGGATGTCCACTAATAAAGGCCTCCGCCTGGCCTTGCTCTCCGGTCGAGGACCCTGGGGTGGACATCTCGCCCATAACTTCCTTCTCAAGCTCTGTTGGCTAGGGGTTTTCTGCTCAGGGTTCTCTACCCCGTTACTCGGGGAACCTCCCTTTTTCCTTATCTTGGGCTTTCTCCCTCTGCCCACATTCCCTCCTGGGAAGGGGTCTCAGTCGGTACCCACTACCGCCATATAAGGTGGTCCCTTTACTACCCCGACCCGTTGCCACTTAAACCAGCCCTGAACCTCAAGAGGCACCTGGGCCATAAGGTTTTGCCTCCTATCCCTGTGGATGCATTCTATGTCCATTTTAACACCCGAAATCCACCAGTGCGGCCTCACCAGCTTCCTTTGTACCAGAGAGCAGGCCGAGGCTGAGTTCACCAGGGCTCATTGGGGTTTCCTCCCCACCATTACTGGAATGGGAGACAGCTTCCACCCCTGCCCTCCAGCATTTGCCCAATGACAAAAAACTCTGCTCATCCACAATCCATGGGTGGGCAGTCCCCCTTCTTGTGTCCTGGTTGTCCACACTGCCAGCAGACAACCGGTCTGGACCCTAGCGTGTCCTCCCATTTGTTCTCTGGGCCTTCTCTCAGTATCCACTTCCTTGCTCAGTTGTCCCTCCTTCCTGGGGAAGTCTGCCTCCGTGTACTCCTCCGTAAGCTTTACAGCCGCCTTGACCATATTTGATTGAGCCTCCTTTATTTTCTCTGGGAGGCCCTGTAAAAATTGCTCTAGGATAAGTGCCTCTATAATCTCCCTCACTGTCTGGGAGTCCGGCCTCAGCCAGTGGGTGGCCCAGTCCATTAACTTTTGGGTAAATACCTGGGGCCGCAACCCCCCCATCCACCTCGCCAACCAGAACTTCTGGCAATACTTCTCCACAGACAGCCCCACCCAATCCAGGATAACTGCCTTTGCCACTTCATAATTCCTGGTCTGTTCTTTACCCAAGGCCATATAGGCTGCTTGGGATTTGCCGGCTAGGTAGGGAGCCAGTCGCAGGGCTCAGGTTGCCCTGTCATATCCAGTCCCCGCGGCTACTCACTCAAAGCTGCCTACGAAGGCATCGGGGTCATCTGTCTGGCCCATTTTACATAGGCCTAAGCCCGGCACCCGAACGCCATCCCCTCCTGTGGGACTCACCACTTTCTGCAGGAGCTGCTGCTGGATGCCAGCCTGCTCCCAAATGAAGTCCTGCAGGCTCTTCTGCTGTTCTGCCTGCTAGGTGAGCAAGGCCTGTCTCTCCAGCTGGTGGGCTTGCTGAAAACTCTGCATTGACTTCTGCATCTTCTCCTGCTGCTTGATCAGCCATTGCAGGGTCTCCTCCATCTCCGGGCTGCCAAATACTTGCTCTAGCACGGGATCCTGGACAGGCCCACACGTGTATCAGAGTCCCCCTTGGCCCTTGCCTCTGTCACTCTGAGACCCTGGGGTTAGTAACCACTGGTGCAGTTTATTCACAGGCTTGTTCCCATCATCGTTTCACTAAGTACAGTTGGCCCTTCACCATCTGCAGGAGGGAGGGAAGAGCTACTTTCCTGCTTCCACTCCCTGCCTTTTCCCTTTCTTACATCCCCTGAAGCTTTTATACAGCCCCAGGCTAATTAGGCAAAATCTGTCTCTGCTCCCCCAATTAGGGCCAGGTTATATCCAGCCAGCTCTTATTTATTCCCCTAAATTCGGAGCTGGTGTTACAAGGCTGAATCAGCAACCCTTTGCCCAGCACCCTGTCACACTGCTGCCAATTAATTTCATTTGGTGATGCCTATTTTGTGTGTTATGTGCACTTATTCATTTTCTCCACACTAGTCATGATTTTATAGACCTCTATCATATCTCCCCTCAGCCATCTCCTTTCCAAACTTTTTAATCTCTCCTTATATAGATAGTGTTGCATATCCCTAATCATTTTTGTTGCCATTTTCTACTTTTTCAATTCTAATATATTTTCTTTAGAT